TGTGTGTGTGTGTGTGTGTGTGTGGATTGGCTGAGTGAGAGGTGGTGAACAGTCACAGGCAGTGACAGTTTGGATACACACTGAAGGTGATGTTGCATGGACCCAGTGTGCCAAGCTGCCACAGTGACAGAAATAAACAATACTTATGTAACAGCAGATGCACTCTGCAGCTTAAAATCAAGGCCATCCTCTCTCTTGATTTGACACCAATGCCCTTCACCAAAGACTACCAGGATTAATTTACTATCACTAACCTTTAGGAAAGCTACTAAGGCTACGTTCACACTGCAGGTCCTAAAGCTCAATTCCGATTTTTTGATCAAATCCGATTTTTTGGTCTGCTTGTTCACACTACAAATAATCTGCAGATTATACAATACAAATAAAATGTTCACGTTTCTCCAACGCTGTCTCCCCACAGTTTCACTAACATCTACACGGGATGGCCAGGAAGCGTTCGCGATGTCTTTTCGGGCGCTTCTCTGGCGCTGATAATTGGTGTCTGTTTTGTGTCAGTGACGTAAAAGATGGATTTAATGCGACATGACCGTTCAAACAGCAGTCGCTTTCTAAAACATCAGATATGTATTGGATTCAGTACCACATACGAAAGTGACCCAGATCGGATTTGAAAATATCGGATTTGTGCTGTTCACACTGTCATGATCGGATATGGGTCGCATAGGGTCAAAAAAGTCGGATTTGATGTGCTTTCGCCTACAGTGTGAACGTAGCCTAAGAAGAATTATTGCTTAACAAGAATGACAATTAGTCTGACTACTCTCACAACCCAAAGATACACTGTAACATTGAGTTAAAGATGCTGTGCTCTTTCACGTCCACATCCACTTTAATGGCTCTTTAATTGTATTTTAGTAGAAAGACTTTTTTTAAACTAAAAACAAAATTCACATTGCTTATTAGGTCTTGTAAAACCTATTTACTGGCTGAGCTGTGGTCATACTTTCTGCGAATATGACTCAACATTTAACATAACATCAGCTCGGTCCAGTGCTTTTTCTAGGAAAAACCTCTGAGTCTTCTTTAATGATCTTGTTACTTCGAGGACACTGAACCTTTCTAAAAACTCACTGACGTCTCCTTCCACCAACCTCTGGTGCTAGAGCGCTGTCTGTTTTGCCCTGGTGCCTTTTGAAAACGAACCCACATTTCTGTGGGAGTGAAAAACCAAAAGGTGCTCAGTGGAAATTGGCAAAATTTAAATGACGAGGAAAATCATGCTGGGAAGAATCTGTACTGCATCTGTGAATTATCTGTGAATTTCTCACAGCAGTCACTCCCAAAGTGACTTATGTCAGTGATTCTAGCTGTGGGGCCAGCAATTTTGCGGTGTTATGCCTCTTACTGGCACAAAAATGCAGATTCTAAATTAAGCATTGGGCGCGGGGGGGTGTTACTTCACTCACGTACACTAAACAGTAAAATGTTTTTCTCCCTTCCTAACAATATAGAGGTTTATTTATTTGTCAGGCATTCAGCATTTGCTTGGCTTTTCCCCACTTAATTTGTGGTCAGTGAACTTGACCCCTGGAGTCTTTTACAGCATTTGAATGCAGATATCTTATACATTTCAGCCCATGCAATAGGTTTGTGCCTCAGTTTTGGTGAAGGTGTGGTTTCAGTATTTTCTTTTTTTATTTCTGTTGCTTACCACTAACTTGCTGATAGATACGTTTAAATGTGTCATGTGGTCTAAATATGGTGACTTCTGGCCAACGTAAATATACCCAAAACACTAACACACTCCAACACAGTAACACATTAAGTGACACCATTGCCGTCTCCATTTATACACGTGTATGGTGCTGACCACACTCTCAATCGCTCGGTCTTCTGCTCCTGCCTTGTCACAAAAACGTGCCCCCACAGAATGCGACATGTGATAGCAGAGAGTTGCAAATAAACTCATTACAGCTGCATCTGGGTCAGTGTACTGAGATAACACTCTAAAATGTGCAAGTTAACAGAACTGAAAAAGTTCATAAAAACAGAGATTATGCAGGCAGTTACGGCACACAGTACTCTTTAGATTCAACAGCTGCGTGTGGGCAAATTTGGAAATATGCATAAAAATGACTTTGTCAGACAACTAGATTTAGCAAAAAACTGCTTTTATCTTGTAAGCCTGAAACATTGTAAGACTACATGTGCACAGTCCCACTGCTCACACTGACAGTAAGCCATACTGCTGTGAAACCCCTGTTTAATCTTATTCGTTAAACTCGAATCCTTCCAGGCCAGAAAATGGGCACAAACTCTAAGGCCTGTTTGAATGTACATGCTTTTTTTTTTTTTTAATTTAGACCATTCTGCACAGTTTAAATAAAATATAATTAAAAACAAAACTGTGTTCTTCCTGCCAACAGATACAGACACCAATAGCTGGATAAAATGAATCAAATGTGGAAAAGCTCTCAGTTGAGCTTCTCTTTTTTAAATCTACATTTTGATACCAAGCTCATCTTCATACTTTTACATTTTAATAGCCACAAATGTAGCTTATTGCTGTGAAATAGAAAGAAAAACTGTTATATAGAACATCTAAACACCAGTGTGGACACTGATGAATCTCTAGGTCCTGAATTAGTTGTTGCCGTTTGTTTTTTTAAATACTTAAAATGTGAAGGTTCACAGAGGGTCTCAGGATCAATAGAGCTGCAGATGAGAACTACTGACACTAATCACAAGGAATAGGATGTTCCCCTTTAAAGTTTAGTAAATTAGGTACAAGGAACAACTTGTGCCAAAAGAAAATTTTCACAAGCTAATCAGGCAATTTAGAAACAAACTGCAAAGAGAGCACAAATTGTTTAACAAATGAAAAATGGGCAATTAATTTTCCCCAGGGCTCACATGTTTTGGAGGGTCCCACCAATTGGCTTATAAAGAAATAAAATGAAGACTTCGCAGAATTGAGTTTAGATTATTGGTGCAGTCTTCCACAGTAGTCTCAGTTTCTCACATGGCCCTTTGAGAAAAATTAAATAAGCGGGTCAGGTTAGATGCACAAGTGGATTTTCTATGGAATGACCTTGATAGCATTAATCAATGCTAAGAAAGCAAATGATCTGTAATCAATTCTCCTTAATTCAAATGTTTTTATGCAATACTTAATTACTTCACTACCTGTAACTTGTCCGTAACCTGAGAGTTACAGATCACTCCCAATCATGTGACTTTTGTTGACAATAAACAATTTAAATAAAGTTTCGTCTGGCTACTTATTATTACAGATATCATTTGTTTGCACACTGGTCAAAGAGTTTCACAGCTTACATCATGTCTTCCTCCAACTGTACCTCTCAGTCTTTATTTTAAAAATGAACTGCAGACAGACGTGTAGAAGCAGAACATCCACATCCAGAGGCTAAACTTTAATGCACAAATCTCAGGGTGCTTGCAGATAAGCTTGACAATGTTACAAAACAGGCTCAAAGGAGAAAGATATCTGATTTGCTGCAGGGCTGCAGGAGCTGAGCAGATGATGAGATGAACTGGTGGAATTTTGTGTGTGTGTGTGTGTGTGTGTGTGTGTGTGTGTGTGTGTGTGTGTGTGTGTGTGTGTGTGTGTGTGTGCGCACGCGCGCACTTCTTAAATCCGAGTCTGTGAATTGAAAGGCTCTCTTTTAGTCAGCTTGTTCGGCTCTTTATGAAAGGCTGACTCATTTGTTTCCTCCGGCTTGTCAAACCATCGCAGAGTCGCTGAGGCAAGCTTGTCAGTTACCATGGGAACAATAGTCAAGTCCTTTTCAGCCACTGGTAAATATTCCCAAATAATAACTCTTCGTTTTCACAAACATAATTTAGATTATATCGCTGTAAGTCAGAGGTTGGATACAACGCAACATGATGTGTGCCAGCATTTGTTCTCCTTCGTATGTCTTTAGCACCGCAATGTTAAAATGGTTTTCAAAGAAAATAAGCAGAAAATGATCAAGAAACGAGCAATGAGCAAGACTGTCATGAATATCAACACTACAAACAATGTGAACAACATAATGTAGTATACATCTATGCACTTACCTCAGTGTCCCAGAACTCAAATCTCCGCTGGGAGATGCAAATGGTTCTCCACAGTGTCACACATCTGTCACTCACTGAGGGTCACCTGCAACAACAAAAAAAGAAGAGACCCATCAATCACCATCACAGGAGAATCATCCTCAAGACATTTAACTACAGTCGTACTGTTTAAAATTACTGTCGTCGATGATGGTGAACAGTGTCTATCCATAATTTTCCCAGAGATTTCATAAATGTGTTTGACCCATCTTTGCTGGCATTGGCTAGAATTTAAAAAAAATTTAAACATTAGAAACTGACATCCAAACAGACGATGCAGTGTAAGCAACATGCTAGTCAGTCAAGCAAGTAACTTGGGGTGACACAGAATAAATCAATGTAGGAATGGAAATTTCTGAAATGTTAGCAACCTTTAAACAGCCCCATTTTTATCACTTAAATTTTTAGTTTAGTTGCTTTTGTTTAGAAACACCTGTGTATGGCTTTACAGATGTCACAATTCAATTCATCCATCCATCCATTCGCTTCCGCTTATCCTTTCCAGGGTCGCGGGGAGTACTGGAGCCCATCCCAGCTGTTATAGGGCGAGAGGCGGGGTACACCCTGGACAGGTCGCCAGTCTGTCGCAGGGCTAACACATAGAGACACAGACAACCATTCGCACTCACATTCACTCACAGATTCACACCTATGGGCAATTTAGATTGACCAATTAACCTATCCCCACTAACTGCATGTCTTTGGACTGTGGGAGGAAGCCGGAGTACCCGGAGAGAACCCATGCAAACACGGGGAGAACATGCAAACTCCACACAGAAAGACCCCGGCCTTATGGTGGAATTGAACTCAGGACCTTCTTGCTGTGCAGCAACAATTCAATTCAATTTTATTTATATAGCGCCAAATCACAACAACAGTCACCTCAAGGCACTTTATATTGTAAGGTAGACCCTACAATAATACATACAGAGAAAAACCCAACAATCAATATAACAGGAAAATATTCTGCAAATCACAAGCTCACAAGTCCAATACTCATATGCTCAATAATCTGCCAGCCCAAATGATTATAAAACCTGGTACTAAAGGTTTGCAAAAATAAAATAACAGGGACGACCTTGCGGGGTTAATCTAATGGCCACTTGAGGCTGGCTCCAAGAGAGAGACAATCCCCACAGACTGTCATGTTAACTTTAGAGAATTGAAAAGCATGTTTACAGCCTAGTACAAAGAGAGGTTGGTCTCTATGGTTAATAAACACCTTTACAACAACCTGACAGTGAGTGAATCTTTATTTTAAAACTCTTCTTGGATACCGGGGTCAGAGGCACGGCCACCTTGTCATAGGTGCACCCACAGAAGGAGCTGTAGCTATCTTTGTGCTGTTACAGCATTATAATCAAATTATATTACAAATAATAAGGCCCGCTGCCTTATATAAACTGTACAAGATGTTTTTGCTGAAGTTTTGATGAGTTAAAATTTTGTATTTATTAATCTGCTGTCTAGCACTAATTAGGCTTTTGTTCATAAAATGGTAACAGTTCCAAAATAGCCCACGGTGCTGACCAAAACACTAATGGCTTCAAAATACCTAATCCGTAACTACCTAGGGTCGCCTTGGTTACGACCGCCTTTATAATATCTATGGCAAAAAAAATAAGATACAGTTAACAATTCATTTTAATCAACATGTCAATTGTTTTCAGGTGTATTGCCTGTTTGGTCTATGACACGTCTGAAAACAAAAAAGCACATCCACAAGGAGTGACGTTAAACACCCATTTTGTCCAAAAAAATGTCAGCAAACTGAGTCATCAACTTATCTTTTCTGCTCTAAAGATTGATGCTTTGTAGTAATTGCAAATAAACTCCAAAATGAGCAACAGCAAATGACTCAAGTGAGAGATATGCAGTCATGAAAATGGACAAAGCAGCTGACGATACGGAAACCAGGGGGACAGTTGCTACAACAGTTCACTACAAGACACACAGCAATTGTGAGAAACATTTCTACTATGGACAGATGCATTACCAACAAGCAAAATAATTTCTGTGTCATAATGGAAACCCGTGTGCATTTTTCTCTAGTACTTTTGAAGGTTATTTTGAGTCACGGCACAAGGAAATTTTCAAGCTCTTATTGTTGCATAGCAACAGTCAGCTGGCCAACTTGTTGTCCTCGCCTGCTAAAAATGCATCCTGAGGATCCACACCCATAACATTTCACTGCATTTGACAAAATAAATCATTGTTTAGTGACACGCAAAAAAGCCTCTGCAGATCCCTGAGAAGCAGAAAGAGCCACATCACAGAGCGACCCATTTGCTGTTAAGTATTTCGAACACAGCCTTGTGTTTATCTGACCGAGTCTTACATTAGCAATTCATCACTAAGAGCCAAGGCAGTCCCATCTGTCTGGGATGATGTGTGTACCCTCTCCACCTATTGTAAGCTCTAAAGAAGCTGTTTATTTTCCGTCACCAGATCGAGTATATTCATTCTGTATGACTCATCAAATCTAAGGGTAACAGCGGCTCCGGGTTGAGTGAATAGATCAAAGAGAGGGACAAGGACTGAATAATAGAATACAAACAAAATCTGTGACCTAAGTAGATTACATGTACGAGGACAGAAACGTGTTATATAAAGATAAGGTTTGAAAGATTTTATCATTAGTTCTTTAGAAACAGAAGTTAGAATAGTTCCCATTAAATGTGATCACTGTGTCTCACTGACTCTATATGGTATAAAACGCAGTATCTTCAACCCCAGGGTGGGTCTATAATAGTTTTTTCATTAACATGAAAGGACTTTATCAGGCCCTACCCAAACACAAGCTGCTCAGGAATATTTGAAGAACATGACATAATCCCAAGGCATTAATCTGGCCTCCAAACTTTAAAACTTTTAAACAAGCCGATTACAACAACACAAAATTAGCTGACACTTACTTGGGTGATTCCTCCCGTCTCCAACCATCTCATTCCCATATTTGCGTGTAAACTGTGCACTCCAGCCAGCCGTCACTGTTGGCTAAATATGTCATGCACCTAATGAGGTCCCGGCCAATGACAATAGGCAAACTTTCCTTGAAGGAATGCTCTTCCTCTATGCAAGACCTGCTCATTGTCCTTTGGCGGGGCTCACAAGGGATCAGTAGTGTGCCAACCCATCCTGTTTACAACGCTTCCAATCTTGTGTCACAATTCCTGTGCTCAACACTCTGCTAAACAGTGCATACAGCTAAAACAAAGCCAACTAACCAACCTATTAAACTACACTAAGTAATTTGTGCACTTTGTTCCAAGACAGACCAGTTAACACACAACACGCTCCACTGTAAATTTGCAATGAGGCAAATAAAAGTTAACATTTTATTTGAACTTTTATTTGATAAAAAACTAAAAGCTCAGCTGTTCAATGGAAAGTAAAAAAAGAAAAAAAGAAGTTAATTCAGGCATGTCTGACATTAAGTACTGGAGAGCAAAGCTGCCATGTGGAAGTCTCGACTCTCATGTAACTAACAAACCCCCCAAACCACAGTTTTAAGTTGTTCAGCCTTGTAATTCAACAACATACATTACCCCTATTACCCTAACTCAGAAGCTGCAAGGAGTCCTTCATCATTTTAGCATGTGGAAGGAGTCACAAGGGTTCACAGCAGTCGTCAGATTGCACAGTGCTACAGACATAAGGGCGGCTCCGTAAAACTATACTAAGTTAAACACTGATGCTTTGAAATTCAAACTTATATGTGTTTTGCTAAAGATACCAAGTTAAGATTGATTTAGATGTAAAGGGTTTTGCAGTTTACGGTGTAATAGACTAGAGTACAGATCTTGTGGAAATGGTCTGAGGACTTTATTCTTTATATTTATAATAATCTTACTATAATGATCGTAGTGTGCATATGCATGTATATATGTCTGAATGCCTGTTCCTCAACTCCTAGACGTGTTAATCAGTCTGGTTTATATAAATATTGTAAGGTCTTTAGCTTACAAGATAAAGCACCTTGAGGAGACTATTGTTGTGATTTGGGACTATAAATACACATTTTTTTAAATTGCTTTGAATTGGGTGAAACGTACTATATAAACTACCTAGGGTACCAGGATAATCAGCATATAAACTAATTCCCCAAAGCTATATAAAAAACTCACATCCTTACAAATGATATACTTTAGATGACCTCAAAACAAACTGCAACATTACAACTACTTCACGTGTATGTTGTTGAAATTATGTGACATTTGTAAATACGTTTTTGCTAGCCATTTTTGTGATCTCACTATATTCGCTGATATAATGAAGATAAATGGTAACCTGATGAAATAACATGCGTGTCCATATAACTAGCAAAAACCTCCTCTATTTAATAAAAATATTGCAAGAGTTTAGTCTCAACAGAAGAATATTTTATTAAAATCCTCACAGTATTAAGGTGAAAGAGTGATTTCATTCACATCACCTGTTACAACTTAGAAAGCTGAGTAGCCCAGTCATACAGACATACTCTGAAACCTGTAATCTCTGAGTCTAAACACTGTGCCCATAGGCTAAGCTTTCAAATGAAAAAACCATCTTAAAATCTGTCAAGCTGGTAAAATCCAAAAACATCATAATCTTAAATGCTGGGTCAAAGCTGCTGTGTGTGCCATGAGCTGTCTCCTCTCCTGTACTGACTGGATGGATGTACACGGCTAACAGATGCAACACTGAGACGTGTTCAACCCTAATGGACAAACACGTTTATGACATTAAGTAATGAGTATGTGTGCCATCTGTGTTTATCTTACTGCCTTAATACGTAAACCCTTTAAACTTGAGTTTTACTGATGGGCAATATACTGTACAACCGATGATTGTGTCAGTAAAATAACAGGAGACACATGGGCGACAATGCGTGACATGAAAAAACACACAACCTTAGGAACTTGACGCCTTAGCAGCTGTGTGTACAATAGCCATCATTCACTACAGACAGATGAATCACACAGGTTTCCGTGACTGAGAGACTTATTAAACCAATGTCAACAAACGCAAGGTTAAAGCCACACAAGGTACAGAGAGCCACTCTTT